ATATTCGCATTATTTCAGCATTGTATTAATTAAACTGTTTGCAAAATAACATTTTTTCGCTATGTGATAACTTTTATTTTTCTTTTAATCATAAATTACAATTATTATATAATAAAATGTAATTAATATATAGATAATAGTTATACATAATCAATATACAATATATAAATATGTATTTTTCATTATTCAGGCTTGTATTAATTACATTGTTTTACAAAACATTTTTTTAGTAAGCATTAAATTTTGATAATACAACAATTTATTGACTTATAATTTTTCTTTTTCTAAACATAACAATTTTACAACTATTCAAATACTCCAAATTGTATTTTTATAACAATAAGGTTATGATACTTACTTTATTCTTCTAACCTTCTAACCGCTGCGATCCACTTTTCCCGTTGATTTTCTTTCCACTTAGCTGTAGAAAATGTATAGAATTTGCAATCACTTTTTCTGCTGGTATTTCTACAACACACCCTACACACAGACATGGTGGTTTATTTTTAATTATCTTATTTAAATTTGAAATAAATAAATATTTTATGTGTTTTTGTTTAAAATTTGTTTATAATAGCCCCTTTTAGTGCTCCAAGTTAGCCACTACGAACGCTTCGGTCGATTTGACTTTCCCTTCCATGCCTTTCGCACATAGCCAATAGCAGGAGCGGAAATTAAAGTTAAAATAATCGAAAAGCGGTCCTGTTTGCTATCTATTTATACTTGCTTTATCTATGATCTACGCAATCTACGGTAATTATTCCACACACAATACAAATAAATTTTGTATTAATAAAGAGTTTATCTCAATTATGCTTTTTACTCCTTTTGTTTAAAAAATTGTTTAAGTATTCTATGTTTTATCTAATTCAAATATCAATCAAACATCAAAAGCATATTTGTAGCTCAAAACTACATTAAAAAATTATATCTCGTCATTTATACCGCATTTCAACATTTTAAGATCAATTGAAATCCCAATATTAATCAAATCTATACGCCAAAACAGTAAACATAACAGTAGCAAAATTTCTTCTTCTTACATGGTAGGGGTTATTATTCTTCATTGTTGGTGCACCGGCATTCATATTTAATCTTTTGGTTTTATGTTTTAATGTTGGCAACACTGGCTGAAGGCATCATGTGCTGTCCATAAAAGCTGGTAGGAGGGTCGTGTCTAGACGAAGCATCGTGTTAAAACGTTAACGACGTTTCTATTGTGCGTTTCTCTCACCCAATTTTTACTTTCAGCTGTTGACATTCAAATTAATGGCGCTAAATTTGAATAATAATTAATGAATTTTAGTAATCGGGTATTTGAAATTAAATTTGGTATTACACTCATTATGTTTTTGTAATAATATAAAATAACAAAATATTATATAAGTATACAATCAAATCGAAATTTAAATCAACAAATACACTACTGGTTTAAATATACATCACATCTAATCCACTGGAATAATATCTACACATTTTTAGCTTATTAATATAAATATTTAGTGAAATTTAGTGAATAATGCATTATAATGTTAGTTTATTACATCGTCTGTCATTCTTAACTTTTATTAACTAATAATCATCCCGTGCAAGATTTGACATTCTTAAGCAATTTATATTCTTCCAAATATATTCAGATCCGCGTAAAGTGGTAATCCAATTTTAAGCAGCTGGAAGAATTCTAAATATTCTGTCTTTCTTGTAGAAGCTTATACTTAATTTTTTACAGCTGGCCTTTTTCCTTAAAGTGAAATATAATTAGACTAATAATATAATATGAACACAGAATATTCTAATATTGTCTAGGGACTAATCTGTCAATGTACTACGTTGTGATTATGTCCAGTATCTCAGTTTGAATTTATTAATGAGAGTTAAAATTTATTAAACAATGTACAAACACAAACAAACAGAAGAACATATTTGCTTATTTATCTATGATAATAAACATTTGCATTTGGCAATACTTGTTTATCGGCTCCCTAGCGCTAACTTTGCGACTACCGTAGGACCCCGAACTAACCCTGCTGAACGCGGATTTTGTTCTGAGATAATGGATCTTGAACACTGACACAGGCTTATTTATCTATGGACACAGGTTAAATCCCATACCAACATAAGAACAAGGGCGTTGTCAACAAACTAAGTACGTCAGGTTTTGGGTGTAATTTGTTAATTGTAAACATGGATTGACTAATATTAGGATGATATGTTATAACATTATATATTTATATATAGATATATTTATATGTAATTATATGATAACGTAACTTATTGCAAATGCTTTTACAGATCAAGATTTTATCATTATTATTATGTGTCCCATTATGTGAGTCAACAATCATTGAAAACAAAGCAAGTTTATTATTTAGAATCTTTAATCATTACATTTTTGTTGTAATTAAGGTTTGTCATTGGAATGCTATGTTTGCACAGAACAAGAAGATAATGTTGGAAAATGTGTGACTACGATCAAAACTTGTAAGCAAGGTGAAGAAGCTTGTTTAACAGAAATAAAATGGGGCAGTACACCTTACTGGTCACAAGTATGTTAAATTTTATTACTACAAATGAAATAAAAATTAATATTACACCACAATTGAATTAAAAAATATTTTTATGCACCAATGGATAATAAATATATCACACTTCAGCACTTTCTTATTGTACAATATTTATGTGAAGTTGACGCTACTAAAAATAAATAACTAAAGTCAATAGTAGAAACTCTATTGACTGGACTATTGTTGTTGATCCGGATATTCAAATGTATGAAAATAATGTTATTAAAAATAAAAAATACATAGACATCAACGAAATTTACAGTACAGTATAGGTATACAGTATATATTTGGTAATTTGCATTTGGTAGCATAAATATGTAGGTAATAAGTTTAATTTGGTTACATTTGGTGATTATCATTTGACGTAAGCTAATTTTTTTCTTCATTGCTGCTATATCACGAATTGGTCCTATAAATTGGTTGCGGTTGGTAGTCCGGATAATTGTGAATCCATATAACTGAGGTACGGACAAATGAGTTTCTACTGTACTAAGTTCATTAAACCCACACACTTCATGTAGAGTTTCAACCAATTGTAATTCAAACCATAAAGGTTTTTAATTTAAATCATTAAGAGATTTTTTTATTGATGTTTTGCATCTAAGTATGTTTCATTTTCAGGATATCTGTTAAAAACATGATTTTGATTAAATATAACAAATAATATAGTTACGAAAAAATAAAAATTAGTTGCTTTTCATAAAATTAATACAATTATAAAACAGAGTAAATTATGTAAAATGAAATAAATGATAAATGAATGGATTATATGAAGAAATATTATGATTGCCAAAGTTTTTTTAAAAAGTAGCAAAAAGAATTAAGAAAAAAAAGAGTGCGTGTAAGGTTCATATGTGATTGAAGTAAAACTTATTTGCTACTGTACAAGATGGCATTTAAGTAAAAATAAATACATCACATAACAATTTTGAATAATATTTTTAGTAATTTGGTAACATTCGTGATACACATATTTATTAGTGTCAACCATTATACACATTTATAAATGATAAATTATAAATTATGTGTTATATAGCATTAAAGATATGTATAATATTTAAAAACAATAATGTAATTAAAGTCATACTTCAAATATGACATGATCGGTTTGTCATTGTAATTAGCATTTAGAAATGAACCTTCATTAGAGAAATGAAGTAATTGCTGATTAATAAATTCTATAATATTCGTTCAGTGGATTATGTTAAACAACACCTAAACAAATATTGTTTTCGCAACATCATTCATCATGTAAATGAGTTTGAAGAACTTCATGTAATTAAAGTTAACATACATTTATTGACTGCTGCCTCTTGCCTAAAGAATATTTCCATTTTAATAACTTCAAAAATTTATAGAAACTAGGAATAATATAGAAATAATTTCTGATCAATAAACTTACGTTTAGTTCACGAAACAAATGTTTAATTGGTAATCGTAATATTTCTACTACGATGTAACTTTAAAATTTTATTTATCTATGCCGATTTCCTTGTTGATATCGGAACGCATACAACAACAGATCTGTATTAACATACACGACGTCTAATCACGATCGACCCGTATAGAAATGATTTCATCGAGAGCCGTAACGTACTTCCGTTGCATTTGTACGGATTACGCCCTAGTCGCGTCTATAGAAGTTTTAGTTAAAAAATCAAAGAATGTTTATAAAATGAATTTGAATTTACATAAATTTATTGATGTAAACCTTAAATAAATTTCATAACTCTTCTTAGCCTAATAATTTTGAAGTCAAATAAGTTCAATGTTGAATAATTTCTTCTTTTAATAATGGGTAGAAAGCAAAAATGTTCATCGACACAAATATATTGAGATAATTAAACTTGTGTATGCGTTCTTCTATCAAGCCAAATTTGTCCATTTGCTTTATAATTTTCTTTGTCATAAATATCTAATAATTTATTTAATATATTATAGGGGGCTCAAAAACAATATTACTATTCCAAACGATGTGCTACTAAAAAACAATGCATTAAAACTAGAGAAAAATATATGCCATACTGCACACACATTTGGTATGAAGATTGGAGCTGCTCTGAGTGCTGTCAAGGCGATCGATGCAATTATTATGTCATTGTAAATATTAATATTAAGATATGTATTTTGCATTTTACTATGCTAATTATTCGATTTGTTTCAGAATAATTCTAATATACATGCTGTCAGTTTTGTTCCTGTTGTTGGTGCACTTTTGTACCAACTTTTGATGAACTACTAATAAATCAGCTGAAATTTGTATCTCTATAAATCAATTAGTCCAAAATAATAAGTAAAGGAGTCAAAAGTCATGTGGCTTCATTGAATTATGCACAAATATAAGTTTTAATCCGTCCAGAAATACTTAGTAATAAGTGTATATTGAAATGAATCTTTATATAATAGTTCTTACTATTGTGTAATCTCACAAGAATTATGGTTAAGATAGTAATATAATATAGTATAATATTTAGTAATAAAATTCAATTCCGTCCTGAATTCCAATTTTATACGTTGATAATAAAATAGTTCAACATAAAATATGAATCTCGTTATGTTTTTAGAATATATATATATTACATATCACCAATTTTAAATATATTTTAAACTATAAATTATTTTAAATAAAAAAAAAATTACACGCAAATAATATTTCATTTTTTACATTTCCAAATTTTGATCATTGTTTTCACTTGTACACATTTATTTTGAACTGCAAGAGACAATTTCTCAGGAGCCGATTCGATAAAATGTGTTTTACTTGAAAAAAATATCAAATTATTTCTTTGTGCACTAATTGCAAGAAAGCATACATGCAAACGCATCAATTATAAATATGAAACAAATGTTATTGAATTTGATTTAGTAACTTTTCTGAATTTCATTCATTGGTTCATAAAACATATATTCAAGGAATGTAGGAGGTATTTTATTGTTATACACGTTAATAGAAAAATCAATTCAATAAAAAGCAATTAAACTATTGATATAATACATAATTATTTAAAAAAAAAAAATCATTTGGGTTATATGATTTAAATCTTAAACTATTTTTTTATTTCTTCTGTACATTATTGATTTATTTCATAAATTACACTTTATAATAGTTATATATTACTAATCTTATAATTTATAATACAATATTAAAAAAAAATTAATTAATTGCGTAAAAATAACATAAATATTATGGATTTTGGCTTAGTGCGTTATAATAAGTATAATGATAAACTTAATTATAATTCTTAAGAATTAACTTCCCACAGGGTAAGTTATTGTAATCGTCCAAAAATCGAAATTGAAAATTTTTACATTTCTTCACGTTTTGAAGGTTTCTGAACATTTTGGCATACCGCAGAAAAATGGATGTGTGTGTGTGTGTATGTATGTATGTATGTATGTATGGATACAATTTTTCGTCTACGTTTTCGGGCGCACGGATCAACTGATTTGAATAGTTCAAACAGCATTCGTTTCCTATTGAAAAGGAGATGTGCTGATTAGTTTTTGTCAAAGGCAGGACCAGCAGGTGCAGAAAATAGAAATCTAGTTTTTGAGAGAACGGAGCATCCGATTTGAATGATCTAAAAAAAATTCAATTCGCAATGATGGGGAGAAGTGGTGATTAAATTGTGGCAAAGTCAGGTACAGCCATTTCGAAGATACAGAGCTAAATGTGAAAAAAATATCAGTTTTTGAGAGAACTAAGCGTCTGATTTGAATGATTTAAAGAACTTTCTGCTTGTTTTAACAAAATAATTGTTTTTGGAAAAAAACATTTTGTTTCAATTTTTTTCTATAATTATATATAATTATCAATAAAATATTGTAAATTTTACATCGAATAAAAAAACAACTACTGAGTTGTTTTTTCCAACATGCCCTTGTTGTATACAATGTCCCTTTTCGGCCGACTATTGTAAATTCATCAAATTTATTGAATGTCCTTTACTGGACAGTTGTAAATAGAAAAGATAATAAAAAAAAACTAGTGGGGTGTATGGCATCGTGCCTTAAGGCAAATTGCTGGAACTTCCCGTAACGAAATGATCGAGGAATATTAAATGTTATAAAATAGATTATTATAAATATTGTAACATTGTCTATTTATATTTATAAGAAATATATAAACTAAATTGGAAAGTTGAAATTATTTGTTTAAAGTATATTAGAACACAATTAAAATAAAAATCTGAATTATTTTCGATATCCAAAAAAAATTTTTTTGAAAAAAAAAATTAAAAAAATTTTGAAGCAAAAAATTTTTTTTCCAAAATCAATTACTTTGTTAAAACAAGCAGAAAGTTTTTGGAACCATTCAAATCGGACGCTTAGTTCTCTCAAAAACTGCCATTTTTTGCACATTTAGCTCTTTATCTCCGAAACCGCTGTACCTGCCTTTGCCAAAAACTAATCACCCCTTCTCCCCGTCATTACGAATTGAATGTTTTTGGGATCATTCAAATCGGACGCTCCGATCTCTCAAAAACTCGATTTCTATTTTGTGCACTCTTTGCTTCGTATCTCCTAATCGGCTGGACCTGCCTTTGCCAAAACTAATCAGCACATCTCCCTATCAATAGGAATCGAATGTTTTTTTAACCATTCAAATCGGTTGATCCGTGCGCTTTTTCCTGAGGTATGCCAAAATGTTCAGAAACCTTCAAAACGTCGAGAAATGCAAAAATTTTCATTTTCGATTTTCGGCCCATTACAATAACTTACCCGACGGGAAATTAAAAATCATTTTTTTTTGTATATCAAAAATAGTTCAGATTTTATTATTTTTAATTGTGACTGCAAAAACTCTAATGTACTTTAAATAAATAATTTCAACTTTGCAATTCAGTTAGACAATGTTACAATATTTGCAATAATTAAAACATTTAATATATTCCTTATAGACATCTTTGCACGGTTAGATGATTTTTGCTATGAAGATCTCTAGTAAATATAAAAAACATTAATTATTTTTCTTTATCATTTAATTATTATATAAATATTATCGTAAAATAGTGCTTTAAGGTACATTTATAAGCAATAGCAAGATAAAACTATTTTAAAACAATAATTTACTTTCCGCTTGTGACGGGAATGCAAAGACAAACGCCATTTTTGTTGACCAAGCCCATATAAATCAACTTGTCAAATGTCATTGCAGTTTGTCTAATTCAAATTTATATTTTGTTATAATGAGTTATTTACTTTCATAATATTATAGAAAAATGTGTGAAGTTGAATTAAAAACATTATTGCTGGGCTTAAAATCAGCAGACAAGGAAAAAATTTATTGCATTCTTTTGAAAATTCGTAATTCCATAACCACGGATGCCAAAGGCATTCAACAATTTTACAAGGCAGGGGGGCTCAAATTGTTGGTAGATTTGTTAAAATATCCCAACCAGAAAAATTTAGATCTGACTTTGAGTATTTTGGGAAATTGCTGCATTCAAGAAAATTGCTCTTTGGCGGTATGTTTGAAATATATTTTAAAATGATATTTATTTTTATATATATATTATTTTCATATCTCAGTCAGACAGATGTGCCTGGTATGAGAGATTATGAAAACAGTTTTCATATTTTATTTGCCTATTTCATTATAATATAATATTTATTATCATTAAAATATTTTTATATAACTCTTCAATCTTCTTTGTCTTCAATTTCCTTATAATATTTCTTTAATTTCCTTTCAAACTTATCATCATCAAATTAACATCGACTGGCAGTTCATTATTTATTTATTTATTTAAATATATAGCCCACAGATTTCTCCAAGAGGACTCAAAAATACAATTATTTTACATAATGAATAACAATTAAAATATATACAAAATTACAATATATAGTTAGTAACATAAAATGCTTAAGATAAAATTACATATAATGCAGAATGTAACAATATTATTTATAAACAGAATAAGATAAAATAATGAGATATTTGAAAAGAAAATAAAAAGGTTAACTTGTGCAGATGGAGATTATTTGATTAGGTGAAGTGTTGTGAATGTCTATTTCAATATTAATTAAGTTAAAGTTAGAGGACATAAGTAAAATTGGCGAATTTAAGAAAGAATTAGATTTAGGGGTAGGATAATTGAAAAATAATTGTGAACGCAAAGATAGCCTTGGAACATTAAAGGATAGTTGATTGAGAATAAGAGGACAGTCAATAGAATTATTGCAAAGCTTAAATAAGAACATAATTGTACAGATAAATCGACATGAGGCAAGGGAAGGAATACCAAATTCTTTTAGTAAAGTGTTGTGGTCAAAGCCACGTTCAGGGTAAATTTTATATGTTTTATAATAAAGGAATTTCAGAAATTTTTGCTGAACCTTCTCTATCGCATCAGAGTTGTTGATTTGATCAGGATACCAAATAATCGAACCGTATTCTAATTTTGAACGCACAATAGAATAGTACATGCAAAGAAATGCATTGGTAGACTTAAATTGTTTACAATTTTTCAGTATCAAACCTAAAGATTTATGTGCTCTATTACAAATATCAGTTACATGATCTGTGAAAAACAAACCAGAATCAAATAGAACACCTAAATCGGAAATTTTATTACATCTATCAATGCTGGTGTTAGAAATTTTATAATCAAAAAGTATTGGAACGCGCTTATGTGTAAAACTAAGAATCTTGCACTTTGATATATTTAAATGTAATTTGTTATAGATACACCAAGAGTGGAAAAGGTCAAGTTGAGACTGTAATAATAAGCAGTCATCAATAGAATTTATTTTGAGATATAGTTTCAGAATTATTATATATTTTACTAGCGCTCCATATGACATTTTCTTTCAATTTCTTCTTTCTATTATGTTCAATGTGAAAATTTTCGTGTTGTCTAGTGTAGTGTTCGTGTATATCTTGATTTATGTCTATTGTTGTAATTCTGTTATATTTCATTTTGCGTATTAATTTGCATTTTAATTATGTTATTTAGTGAATGATTATTTATTTCTGTCTGTAAGTATTTGGTGGGTGTTAAATGTGGAAAATTATATGCTGTTTTTATGGCTTTATTCATTATTCTCTGTATGTTTGAAATAAGTTTTGAATCTTTAGTGAATTTTAAACTATGTATCAATTATATTAATTTTAGGTTGGCGGATTGAAAGTTTCAGAATTGCTTGTGAATATTATTAAAAACATTGCTTCAGATAGTATATTATGCAGAGCTTGTCGACTCATTGCAAATCTTTCAACGCAAAAAGAAAATGCAGAATACTTTCATTCAGCTGGTGTGGTTTGGGCTCTTGTTGGCATCCTTCAAAACTACGTTGAAATTATAGAACAGCCTAAAGAAAGCACAGCGACTATTGCAATGGCCATCCGAGCCTTAGGGTTTGTATAAAATCTAATGAGTAAATATATTGAGATCTTTTTTTAATATGCATCAATTAGTGATTAAGGAGGTATTCTAGTGCAGAGGCATGAATTTTAGGTCATTTAAAAATTTTTGTAAAAAAGAGGCAATTACTATCATTTTTGTTATAATTTATTTATCAATGTTACAAGAGTACAAAAAAAAATGAGTGCGCGTAAGGTTCACACGCGATTGAAGTAAAACTTATTTGCTACTGTACAAGATGGCATTTAATTAAAAATAAATACATCATATAACAATTTTGAATAATGTTTATTAGTAATATGGTAACACTCGTGATGCACACATTTATTAGTGTTAATCATTATACACATTTATATAATGATAAATTATAAATTATATATTTATAATATCATTGAAAATATGTATGATATTTAAAAACAATATTCAAACTTCAAATATGACATGATCGGTTTGCCATTGTAATTAACATTTAGAAATGAACTTTCATTAGAGAAAGTCATTGCTGATTAATTAATTTTTTAACATTTGTTCACACAGTGGATTTTGTTAAACAACGCCTTATGTCAATTATTAGACGTCAATTATATGCCAAACAATTGTTTTCAAGGGACAGGGCAAAATATTCTTTTGATTTAGGTATTTTTCATTAAATCAAGATTTGTACTACGATATAACTTTAAAATGTTTATTTATCTATACCGATTTTCTTGTTGATATCGGTATGCATACAGCGTTGATGCCGGTATGCATACAACGACAAAACTCTATTCACATACACGACGTATAATCACAATCGACCCGTATAGAAATGATATCATCGAGAGCGAATGACGAATCATTGATACTCGACTCGGCCGTAACGCACTTCCGTTGCATTTGTACGGATTTACACCCTAGTCGCGTCTAAAGAAGTTTTACTTCAAAAAGTAAAAACAAAAAAGTTAATTATTTTAAAAATTAGCAGTTGTTGAAGTGTGGAGTCTCAAAAAATTGACACATAATCTAGTAAATGAAAAAGAAAAATGGATTATTAATCTAGAATAATGTCGCAATGGTATATACTAGAATTAAGTTTAATTTTTTTTATGAAATGGCGACTATTTGAAAAAAGGATAATTTTTTTACCACTTTTTGAGTTTCATGCGTTTTTTTAAAAATCGTGAAGATTGAAATTTGGGGTATGCCTGAGAGAAGTCTGTAAAGAAGATTCTCTGAAAATTTTAAGTGAATCAGTTTAGTAGAACTCTAGAAATCCTAGGGATCGTATTGAAAAAGACAGTTTTGAGAAAAAGGTGTTTAAAATTTCGCAAGAAGAAGGAAACAGAAGAGGATTATCATGGTCAAACAGCTGAATCTCTGAAAATAATTCGAATTTAAAATTTAAAAAAAAAATCTAGCACAGACACTCATAAAAAGTTAAACTTTTAAAATATGAAACAAAAGACAAATGATTTTTTTGAAATTCTACACTAGATTATCCCCTTAATTAATGAATCAGGTAGCTTATATTTGCAATTGTATATACAAAACTAATAGGAAAAAATGTTGTGGAAGAGAAAATGATGTAGAATGTAAATACAGAAATATTGTACTGTACTCTTTTAGGATATTATGGACTCATGAGAATTGTAGAGATGATATAATTTCAGTTGGTACAATTAAATTTATTGTCTCAATACTAGCATATCATGAAATCCAAAAGAATTCTGCAATATTGGGATTTACACATGTTATACTTAAAACTTTGGTGACAATGACAACTTTGAGCAGGAGAGACAACAATTCTACTGTGAGTGATTACCTTGCAAGTCAGGTAATGTATCATATATGTTCCAAATTTAAACCAAATATGTAGAAGGTATACATAGAATATAATATATATATATATATATATATATATATATATATATATATATTATACACATAATTGTTATTCTTTAAATATCCATGAATCAATCCACATAATTTTTGTACAAAGGGTCTGATCGAGTTTCCATATAGAATTGGCCCCACCTTGGTATTGGATTTTGATGCCATTTTATAGGTATTTTCGAAAAAATTTGAAATACCAAATTTCAAATCCGTAGCTCATCATTTGGCCGAAATTTCATTGAAAATATGTGAAAGTGGCCCCTTTTTCAAAGTCGATTTTTGACGCAACTGTAAAAGATATCGATAAACAAATAACGCCATTCTATTCACATCGGTGTGGACTATATTATCAATAACAAATATTGTTAAATAATTATTAACTTCCCGTAGTGCAAGTTATAATAATCACAAAAAATCGAAAATGAAAATTTTTATATATCTTTACGTTTCAAAAGTTTCTGAACATTTTGGCATACCTTAGAAAAAAATGATGTTTTTGTGTGTGCACGGATACAAATTTTCGTCGACGATTTCGGGAACACGGATCAACCGATTTGCATAATTCAAAATACATTCGATTCGTATTGATAAGGAGACGTGCTGATTAGTTTTTGGCGAAGGCAGGTCTAGCCGTTCCGAAGATACTGGGCAAAAAGTGCCAAAAACGGTAACTCAGTTTTTAAGAGAACGGAGCGTCCGATTTTGATAATTCAAAAAACATTTTACTTGTATTGACAAGATGAAGAACTGATTAAATTTTTGGGTAGGCAGGTCCAGCGTTTATGGACTCGCAATAAAAATAAGTAAAAATAATGTCATTTGGCGGTCAAAAATATTTATTGGACTTTTTCACATCAATTTATCAGATATTTTATAGAGATTTTCATAATATGTACACAAAATTCCGTACCAAAATTTTTAATTACGGTACGGGAAGTTCCAGCAATTTGCCTTAAGGCATGTTGCCATGCACCCCACTAGTTTGTTAGTCTATGAAAAAGTGAAAACAATTTTTTGTTCCAAATTTTCCGAGAATGCGGTTTAAACTAATTTTTAATTTGCATCATTAGAAAGGCTATTAATTTTTCTTACGCTATCCAAAATTTAGTTTTAGTCCATTACATGTGGTAGAACACTTTCAATAGTTCAAATAACCTGAGCAAGTACACGCTACTATATGAAAATTTCTATTTTAAACAATTTTATATTTGTGTATGCGTAAAATAAATGTATTTATTTATATATTATTTTTATATATATATTGGTATGTGTGTAATAAATTATTTCAATTTTTATTTTTTATCTTAAAATTTAATATCCGTTTTAAAATACACTAATATATTATACGATTTATATTTCATACAATTTTTCCTAAATAATAAATGAACACAATAAATAATAATATTATATCGGAAGTTGATTTTTATTCGGGCCACAGCAATATAATGCAAGTATATTAGCTCACAATTCTGAATCGATTTAAAACTAGTGGTGTATGGCATTGAACCTTAAGGTAAATTGCTGGAACTTCCTGCACTATAATGAAATATTCAAGGAATATTAAATGTTTTCAAATAGATTATTATAAATACTGTAACTTACATCAAATTTAAAATGTCTAATATTTATAATAATTTTATAAACTGAATAACAAAGTTAAAATTATTCATTTGAAGTATATTAGTGTTCATGAGCTTTAAACTTTTAGCCTGAATTAAAATTAAATCCGAGTTATTTTAGATATTCAAAAAAAAATATTTTTGGAAATATAAAAAAGAACTGAAAAAAAAATATCGAAAAGCAATTGTTTGGTCTACGCAAGTAAAAAAATGTTTGAATCATTCAAATCGGTTTCGCTTAGTTCTTTCGAATACTGGCATTTTTTGCACATTTAGCTCTGTATCTTCGTAATGGCTGGACCTGTCTTTGCCAAAAACTAATCACCACGTGTCCCAATCATTACAAATTGAATGTTTTTCAGATCATTCAAATCGGATACTCCGTTCTCTCAAAAACTCGATTTGTATTTTCTGCACTCTTTGCTTCGTATCTCCGTAACGGCTGGACCTGCCTTTGCCAAAAACTAATTAGCACATCTCCCTCTCAATAGGAATCGAATGTTTTTTGAACCATTTCAATCGGTTGATCCGTGCGCCCGAAAAATTGTATTCATACATACACACACAATCACACATCCATTTTTTCTGAGGTATGCCAAAATGTTCAGGAACCTTCAAAACGTGAAGAAATGTAAAAATTTTCAATTTCGATTTTTGGACGATTACAATAACACTTACACGCACACACATCCATTTTTTCTGAGGTATGCCAAAATGTTCAGAAACCTTGAAAACGTGAAGAAATGTAAAAATTTTTAATTTCGATTTTTTAACGATTACAATGACTTACCCTACGTGAAGTTAAAAGTATTTCTACTTTTTGTAATTGCGGGATACTCAGGGAATTACGTTCACTGGGTGGAACTAATTACGGGAGTCATGAAATTGAAATTTCTTTACAAATATATGCTCGATTTAACTATAAAACTAATCTCTCATTAATACTGATCAATAATTTCACAAATTTGGATCGATTAAGCTTACCGACATCGAATAAAAACCTTAAGCAACGGAACCGTCACATTAATCTGACTACCTAACAAGCCAGTACGAAATGGCGATCGGGTCACGATGAATGCGCTCAAAAGCTTTTTACGGCTTCAAAAACTAATATTTATATTCGAAAATCGTGCTATTTTGTTAGGATTCAAATCATAATTGATGTGCTATTGAATAAATTATTATTTAGTTGCGATCAAAATGAAAAACTCCCGTATTAATGTACTATCCGGAATAGTGTACATTTACCTTACATATATATATATATATATATATATATATATATATATACAGGGCCGGTTCTGGGGTCCTCAACGCCCGCATGCAAGATTTGTTCTAGCCAATAATTTAAACTTTCGTAGTTGCGTTTACGGGATTGAACACTAGTTTCTTTTTTGATTCCACATTAACTTCAAACGAAGAAAAATTTAATAAGTACATTAAACAATAAGCAAAATAATAATCTACTAATTTGCAGAGTTATTAATCTATTAAGTATTCTAGATTTTATATTAAAAAAAAATATAAATAATATACTATAAATTTCATTTCCGAATCTCATTTTGGCGCCCCCTAAGGCGTGCGCCTGCATTTTTCGCAAGGCGGGACCGACCTTGTATATATTATATATATATATATATATATATATATATATATGTGTGTGTGTGTGTGTGTGCGTGTGTGTGTACATATAATTTTAATACATTCGAATTTTGTTCTTTCAGATATGTTCAGAAAAAGGAATAATAGATGTAATAACGGGCATAATTAACAAAAACTATGAAAATTCTGATCACAAGGAAAGCAAACAAATTAAACTCAATAGCAAATTAGCACTAACATTGCTGTATAATTTGTGTCACCTAGATCAGTGTCGTGATATGTTAGGCAAAAGTACTGCATTAACAACATTAATAAATAAGGTGGACTCTGAAGAAGGTTAATAAATATATAAAGTAATTTCTAAATACATTTGATAATTATCACACAACCTTTGTCCTTTAGGTTTCAATGGCCTTATATTACTTTGTCGTGATATAAAAGTGCATGCTAAAGCAAGAACATCTGGAGCTTTGAGAGTATTATTAAAGTCTGTTGATAAATCAGGAATTATATCTACATCTAAGAGAAAAATATCACTGGTAAATATATAGAACAAAATCAATAAAGTCTTGGTTCTATGGTTTGAAAATAAACAGAAAAAGTAACGTTAAAAAATAAATATCATCAGAGCAAGAATAAAAAAACAAAGAACTATGACAAAAAAGACAGACATATATCTAAATCTTGAGCATTACTTACTTGAAATTCTTAGATTAACACTTATACATATTAACAACATATTTTATTTTTTTAAAAAAAGAGTAATCACTGACCTTTAGTGCTTGTTTCAAGTTATTAATTATTCACAAGTTTCGTGTTAACAAGTATAAGTGTTAATCTAAGAATTTCAGGTAAGTAATGTTATTTGAGTTTGTACAAAATTGAGTATTTAATTAATACTTTGTATACTTACAGGTTTTGGATGTACTGAGTCAATATATTTTAGATAAAAACATTATTTTTGATTTAGTTGAAGATGGATTGATTACTGTTCTTATTACAGTTATGAACTGTTATTTAAAAAACGTGAATTGTTTGGATAAATCAATCAAAAACTGTAAACATACATGTAGTAGTCACCCAAAATGTAATGCTGATTCAAAATCGGGTGCATGTTCTGAAAAATCCAAAGTTAAACGAAATCATCAAACAAAATGTGATACTGCTGTTAAGGTAGCCTGAGATTGATTTAAATCTATATATATATATATATATATATATATATTTATATATATATTATATATATATATTGATTGTTTCTTTTCCGAACAGTAAATCCAATAATAAAAAACAATTTGTTTTTTGAAGACGTTTAATACGACGTTTCGGAACTAGGTACGTTCCATCATCAGGTTTATTCTGTAATAATTTATATATCCATATCACTAATATTTTTTTGTTAAAAAACACTCGATTTTTTTGGAAGATATTTGTAGATGTTAACATCTACAAATATCTTCCAAAAAATCGAGTGTTTTTAACAAAAAAATATTAGTGATATGGATATATAAATTATTACAGAATCAACCTGATGATGGAACGTACCTAGTTCCGAAACGTCGTATTAAACGTCTTCAAAAAACAAATTGTTTTTTATTATTGGATTTACTGTTCGGAAAAGAAACAATCAATATATTGAAAAAATCCAGGACTTATCTATTGAATATATATATAGTTCATACACTAAGCAAAGAAAAAACGAAGATTTATAAAATAATCTTTAATTCCAAATGTTTCGACATACAATTTGATGTCATCATCAGTGGATCTATAAGGTAAAAAGATTTGAAAGAAATATATAAACTAAGTAACTATGTTTGGAATTAAAGATTATTTTATAAATCTTTGTTTTGATTTTTTTTTTATTTTTTTGGAAAAAAAACTTTTTGAAAAAAAATGTTTTCTTCATTTTGAATCATATTGGAAATTCTGAACTTTTTTTCAAAGCAATCGTACTGCTTTAATTGCATAGAGACGAAATATCGAAGCGCGTAAGCACCGCGTCCGGACAATCCGTTCTCTTAAAAACTGAGTTACCTTTTGTGGCACTTTTTGCCCCATATCTTCGGGACGGCTACACCTGCCTTCGCCAAAAGCTAATCAGCACAATTACAATTTTGTATCCACATGAAAACATTATTAACCCATGGTATGAGTATGTGCACATTGATAAAGTATATATTTTTTAACATCACAAATGATAAAACACCCAAATAAACATGATAACTTAACAAGTTGTAGAAACTATGTATTTACTATTCAGAGTTTGATAGAAATCGACATCTCTATCTTAAACTCTTAATTCTTAATTTACCATATATGATGTTAAAAAATATATATTTTATCAATGTGCACATACTCATACCATGGATTAATAATGTTTTCATATGTTATATCAGGATACAAAATTTTAGATTGATTGCCACTGAATGAAGGCTAAGATGCTAGCCGAAACGTATGGATTTTAAATAAATTTCTAAAAACTCTCATACTATTTTTATTGATGTAACGCCCGACTTTATAACTCAATTTAAATATTTATGTATATATATATATATATATATATATATATAAATATTTTTTTTTTTTTTTTGATAGAGACTATTGATGGATGGAGATAATGCTCAGTTTACTTATTATTTATCGTCAATTCCTTCATCACCATGCAATAGTAGTAAAGCTCTGTGGAGTCCACAAAGTGATAGCACAGGTTATGCAAGCATGGATGCAACACCTCCAAGAAGAGGTAACTAGATACATAATTTACAGAAATTTCATAGATTTGATTTAAACTATTTCATCTATATTGTATTATTGTGCAAAGTTTAACTAGTTGGTATTGGTATTTTGCCTTGAGGCAAGTTACACGAACTTCTCGATATGTCGATTTAATCAATAAAAAATAAATTAATTTACGAGTGTTTAAAAGTAATCCGAGTGGATTTTTTACACATAAACGAACAAACACGTTAACTCGGAGTATTTTCTAAAAGCAAATTTTCAAAAATCTTTAATTTTTATAATTGAACCAGTTTTCGTAGAACTTTAATGGTTTAGTATGTTCATTAAGACCAAGTACTCTAGCGTTAAACCAAGTAAATCGTCTAATATTAATTTTAACAAACGTCAAAAAAACTACTCATTTTCTCAAACTTGAATGAATTTTTAAAATTAAACTACTGGTCATAAGGCCGTAATATTTCAGTAAGTTCTTTAAGACCAGGATATATATTGCCAAAAGAAAGTTCCATAAAAATCGGCTTATATTTTTTTTTCAACAGTTAATATAGATTTTCAACTAAAACTAATCAATATCATTCCCAAATGATATCTTTCGAACAGTTTTTCGATTTTTGAAAATCGATTCGGTAGTATGAGCTTAAATGTCGACAAACAGTTTAAACCTTTTTTCCAAATTACAAAAAAATAGTTCGGCCGATCGCTGCACAAAACCGAGAAAAAATAATCCACATCAAAATACATCGATTGGCTTTTAATTTTTTGAAATCGGTTCAGGCGTTTTTGAGCAAACGTCGATGAAAGTTTTAATTTTGACAAACGCCTAAAAAACGACACTAATTTTTGCAAACTTTGACGATTTTCTAAAATTAAACGACTTGTCGTCGGACCGTAATATTCTAGTATGATCTATAAGACTATGGTAACTACCGTCAAAAAAAAAAAAATCATGAAAATCGTCGAAAAAAAATTTTAACGCCTCATTACAAGAAAACGGCTCGGCCGATCTTTACCGAAAACTAATCAGGTCGATTCCCAACCAATATGTTTCGAACAGTTTTTGAATTTTCAAAATCGATTCAGAATTGCGGGCTAAAACGTGGACGAAAATTTTTTCACTTTTCTGCGATTTACAAAGAAACGGCTCGGCCGATCGCCGCACAAAACTCAGAAACGATAGTCCTCATCGAGATACATCGAATGGCTTTTAAATTTTTGAAATCGGTCCAGCCGTTTTTGAGAAAACGTCGATTTACGGCAAAAAATCTGTTCACATACACACACACACACACACTTTTTCCAAATTTGGTCTCATTCGATTCAGAATGGCTTGAAACGTGGAGGAAACATAAAATTAGCAATTCGGATTTTTTGATGAAAACATAAACTTCTCCTTCGGGATGTTAATAATACATTTCGAAAATTATTGTTATTGATTATTTGCTAAATTGACAAGTTTTGGAAAATTTATGTTAGAAGATTTTTTTAAGTTCCCACTTCTCAGTTATGCTTAGGGAAGTTTGAGCAATTTGCTTGAAGCACGATGCCACACACCACTAGTTATGTTCGATGTAATTCATTTACATTAATTAACAAATAATTTGATTTTAGTATTAAATGTTTAATTTTAATTCCAGATTCATTGACAGATGATGATTTTGAGAGCTATTCTCCTGTGTGCAGCGATAATGAGGGGGAGGCCGACTTTACAAAGGATGAGGGGTTAGATGTAGATGATTATTGTCCTTCAGATGTAAATAAAGTTACTGTTATTGATGAAATGTATGATCAAGATGAGTGTAATACTACAATCAATCAAGATGATGAAACATTAAATGATTTTGGTATAACTTCGACAATTTCTTTTTAATTTAAATTTAATAATTGGAAATAATGTTGTCATACCATTTAGTCTTTTGTGGGTGTAATTTTATCACGGAATTTCGGTACTTAAAAAAAAAAGTTATATTGATGGATCTATTTTCTGTTGACATAACTATGTTATATTACCAGGTTTTCATGGTAACATAACATGTTTTAAATAAGCGTATGCTGAAGATTAGCTAATATTAACTACCGGAGCACTAGTTTATTTTTATATATCAATATAACATTCTTTCTTGATGTTAATTCTCAATGTGTTGTTAGTTTCAAAAACTGTCAAAAAGTTTTTCTTATATGAGCATTTATTTAAATTTTTGGTACTGTTAACTTTAAAACTGTAAACGTCACATAATTTCAAAATGACATTAGTTTTTCTTTCCACATATTTTATTCATAAGTGCAATGCAGGAGTACCTATTATTTTGAGGCATTTGTGGTCTCTACAGTGCCATATAGAATAAAATGCTGAGAACTGCTTTATAGTAATATTTATTGCATAAAAAGAATATTTGAGAATAGGACTATGAATATATAAAATTAGTTGAAAAAAAAATTAGGCAAAATGTTTCTTGAAAGAAGAATCTTTAAAGCCCTCATTACCATTTTATTTTCTAATTATTAATTTTAAATAATATTGTTTGCAAATATTTTTTATATTAGATTTCAATAAATTATAACTTTTAATTTCAGAAACCAAAGAGGATTGTAATCGTGACATTCTTACATGTGTAAGGCTGCTACAGCAAATAACTTTCTACGGTTGCATAATACCGCAATTAGCACAAGCAGAAACCATAATATCTCTACTAAAATTTTTAATTGAATCAACACAAGGCATAAAATATGTTATATATGCAGTGAATGAAATATTAGGGTGAGTGCATTATAGTGTAATACAAACAGTTTTATATGAAATTGGCAGAGCTTCATTACCGGTTATTAGACCTAAAAAAAATTTTTTTATCTAACTTTCTATATATATTTTACTAGATGTATTACAATATGCTTTTTGAAATTTAACAGCAAGTGAAGGTCTCCAAACAATATGAATTAGGTTTAAGAAAATAAGTCCATGTTATCAGACAATATACTTCTTTACATATATACTTCTTTTCAGACGAGTAGAGTATCTTAAAACTCTTTTGAAGACTGATTTAGTATTAGAGATGTACAATATTATTAATGCTAATGTACCTGAGTGTAGTCAATGCATTAAAGTGAGTATTATAATCTTGTTGCAATGAAATTATTAACTGCTCATAGGGCTATTTAGTAATAGTAGTAGCAAAAAATATTTTTTTTATGTGTTTACATTTCAAAGCATTCTGAACATTTAGATATATGTACTTCAGAAAAAAATGATGTATGTGTGTGTATGCGGATGTATGTGCATTGGTAATTTTTTTGTGAGAAGTTTGAATTTTTAAAATAAAATGTAAATGTAATAAAATTAGTCTGGGAGCTTGCAAGGGGTTATATACGGAAGGCCGAAAAAAATTAATTTTTCAGATTTTTTTCCAGAAAAACTATGAATATTATTGATCCAAAATTTTTTACATATATTATGGTATCTTTTAATTATATTTTTCTTTTAGATAAAGGATAGGATAATTAAATTACGCAACAAATTACAAATTACTGCTGAATCTGCATGTGGTGTTGGGGAAATAGAGAATATCCTTTGTCTAGGAACTATGGATTTGCGAAGAAAATACATACTGAATATTTCTCTATTAATTGAGTAAGTACAGAAAAAATATTTATTTTTAAAAAATTTGTAATATTTTAATATGTCATTGTAATTTATATATTGAATGTATGGTTTATGAATGCTTGACAATTACACAGACATACACCCATATCTATATAAATATATATATATATATATATTTATATATATATATATATATATATATATATATGTATATATGTATATATTTCGAAAGTCTACAAAATATATATATATATATATATATATTATATATATATATATATAATATATATAATATATATATATATATATAATATATATATATATGTATATATAATGAAGCTGTTCTTGGATGTCCATCCAATAGTTGAAACTATTTTATTGAAGTAAAATGTTTCATTGTCAAAATAAAATGCACAAAAGTATACATACTTACATAAATGTGTGCAGTATACACAAAAGGCAGTATTAAGATGTATTGCGCATGCTGTAAAACTTATTTGAAGCATCCCAGTAAATATTTCAGAGAGTATAATATATAATATATATATAAGTATAAATTATTTAAGACAATAAATTGAAAATCTAAAGTACTAATGCAAATATGTATATCGAAGCTAATCGTACATTGTTATCAAAAGTTCACTTGCTTACATTTTTAGATATTATTTGTTATTAAAAGTTTAAAAATAATGTTCTACTTTTGTTACAGCTCTGCTATTATTCTGAGAAAAATTTTATTTAAGTTTGGCGCCTTAGAAATTTTATCAAATTTACTTGATGATCCTATATACAAAAAAAGGGCTTTGTTAGCGTTCATAAATTATGCAAAAATACTTAAAAGAAAATCTGAATCAAAAGTATATTTTAAAAATATTCCGTCGAAGGATCTTTCAATACCAGCAGATTCTAAAGATAAAATTACATTTATTTTGAATGGTGGGATTGAAGTATATGTAGACAGAAAGATATTGATAGACAAATCAGAAGTTTTGAAGTAATGCTTAATAGCGATTTTAGAAAATAGAGGAATTATACATCTAGATAATGTAGAAGAAGATTCGATGAAGTACTTTTTTAAACTTCTATATTTGGATTTAGAAAATGATGATATTAACCCTCCACTGCCAGCAACCATGAAGTCGGCCGCGGAAGCTCTTATGTTAACTGACAAATATTTACTTGAAGATTTGAATTCATTTGTGTGTAAAGTTATTGTGCAATTTCTTTTAAAATCCAATAGTGTGCATGAATTATATGAACAGAGTATTTTATTAAAAACAGAAAATTTGAAGCATGAATGTATTGCCTATATATTAAATAATTCAGAGGCAAATCGACAAATATGTGATTTGGTGAATTCAGATAAGGATGACCAATTAGTTAATATATTGGTGTCTGATATTGAAGAGCTATTTAGGCAAGAACTACATGCCTATGAAAACGTAATATGATGAATCTTATTATTAATTATAATGACAAATTATATATTTACAATAGAAAACGATGTATATATATTTTTTACAATGTTTTTTTGGTTATTTTTTTTTGTAATGAAATCATTAAAACAATATTTGAAATGACAATTGTATAATATTTTTATATATTTAGTTTGTATAGAATTATAGATAACTATATTAGAATTATTGATTTAGATCACTTTGAACATAAAATTTTTAATTTTAATAATTATAAAAATAAAACTTGAACTAAATCCCACTCCTAATCCAAATCAAAATGAGCCGAATTAATTGTTCAAACTAATACAAATTAACCGCATCATCCGACTAACCAATAATTCAGTAAACACTCGATTTGGTCACCACGTGGTGTTCAATGTAGTGCCTATATTGTGCTATAGTAGTTTAACCCCTCCCATAGCTATGCTTGTGGAATACAGATTGCTACCGCCGCTTGTACTCATTACATTCCGCCTAAAGGCGATTTTACCTGTAATTTGCGCGGTGCAAGATGATGATATGACCCCATCTGTAGTCCACATTGATTATACATGGGTGTCACAGCGCTGAAGGAACGCTTGTGGATTTCAGGTTGCTGCCGATGCTCACATCACACGGTGTTTACTGCGACCTTAGAGGGCGTCCATTAGGTTTTAAGGAGAGGAGGGGTCTGACAAAAAATCACGAAATATCACGTGAGGGGGGGATGGGTAAAGTAAGATATAACGTTTATTTATTTTACCTCAATTTAAAAAAAATACAAATTTTTAATATCACCAAGAAGGAGCGGAGTCCAAAAATCGTTAAAAACTCGATCACGTGTATAATGGACGCTCCAAGGGGCACAACTAGTGTGAAATTTTCAATAAATCGAATTTTCAATTTTTCCATATTTCGATAGGTTATACCTTCAAAAATAACATACCAAAATTTTAAATCGATATCTTAAATAGTTTTTGAGTCACAGCCATTTAAAGAGTATATATATATAGTATAGTATAACGATTATTTTATCTTTAAACGCGTTTTTCTCGAAACAGCATTTTCCGAATTTGCTGCAGCGATTACTCAAAAACAATTGATCCGATCACTATCAAATTTTTTTACATGTTCTATATATAGTTCTCCGTAAAATGAACTATCGATTTTTTGATCGGATCAAAAATCGAGTTTTGGCAGTCCAAAAACGACCAAAATTTTGGGTAAAATTCGCCTTTTTTTTAAAAAAACGCCGTCATTTTGTCGATTTTTGATTTTTTTTCTTTATCGTAGTTTATTTTACAGACAATATTATCTAGTTTAACGAGAATTTTTATTTTTTTTATTTCATCTATGTAGAAGGCCGGAATCACTGCAGCAGTGAAGGGCCTTTTTTTGTCGCGCCGTTGGAGATCGACGATAACTTAAAAAATATTTAATTTTTTTCTTCAAAAATTTTACTATGTAGTCTTAAAACATGTATAAATATATTCCTAAACTTTTGAAATGATTGCCAAAAATCACCTTTTTTTAGGCGGTTACACTATTTGTGCCCCTTAAGACGTAGGTGTTGCGCGCAGTTATGACGTTATATGTAATTAGAAATCAGTTGTGACGTAATATACCACCAGCTGAGAAAGACACATTTATGACAGAATGCAGTATTCTTTTCAAACGAAGACACTTCTAAGCATCGAGAGTTAATTGCCAACTTCTTGCGGTTACATTCCTCTCAGGGATGCCTCCCCTACGCAAATAAGTGGAGGGGTAGTTATGCGCAATTTATGCATATGTATGAGTGCCACCTATACATTCGTAGCACTCCACCACCTCCCCTAAAGATCGTCCTCTTACAAATTCTATCTCTGATGCCGGCACCGCGTCTTCTTCTCCAGGTAACGTCAGTGGCGTTTTCTAACCTGTCCGATCCGCGATCCAGTCGCTTCCCGTAGCCTATAGTATAGGCCCTATACCAACGTCGATCTCTACTATATCAACACACACATTGTTAAACCCAAATTTCAGTATGTATAGTATTTCACCATGATGAATTGTTGCTAACTCTTAACAAACGCTTTGGCCGAAATATCACATTTAACTGTTCAAATTTCTTGTTCAAAAAGTGCAAAAGAAAATAATAAATCGCTTAGTCCAGTTCACTTTTATAACATTCATTAACTTCTTTAAATGATCACTTGTACTATTGAATACATAACATACATTCTAATGCAAAAAAATCGAACATATGAATACAAACCTATATAAACGCTATCATTTATGAAAATAACTAGTGGAGTATGTCAACGTTCCTTAAGGCAAATTGCTGGAACTTCACGTACCATTTTAAAAAAAAGAACTTTGAAAAAAATTAGATTTTTTTAAAAAAAAAAATTTTAGAAAACTTGACTTTTTTGAAAAATATGACTTTTTGAAAGGAAAATGTTTTCTTTATTTTGAAATATTTTGGAAATTTTGAAGTTTTTTTTTTTCAAAGCAATCGCACTTTAGATGCTTAAAAACGAAATATCAAAGCGCGTAAGCGCCGCATCGTCGTCTAACAAACATTTGTATCCGCACACACACATAGAGAAACCTTTGAAACGTAAAGATATATAAAAATTTCATTTTTGATTTCTACGGAAAGTTAAAAACAACTTTACGTTTACTCGATATATATATGTAACAATCACGTGCTATCGTACAATTTGCTTTATACATACTCGTATACATAATCATTATTATTGATTATGGATACCCTAGGATCTAATTGTGGGTATAATTTCCATTCGTATTATGAAAATTGGATGCTGCACGTGTGAAAGTGGGAGATCAGCGCGCCAACGAGAACACTAGGGAGGCCAGAAAGCTTCGTAGGCAACATCAAATGGAAATTTTGGAAACTTCTATAATGACTGATAAACTATCAAAAGGCCCAGAAATAGATGAATCGGTTTTAGTAATTCAACTAGTGAGGTGCATGGCTTCGTGTCTTAAGGCAAATTGCTGGAATGTCCCGTACCGTAATTAAAAATCTTGGTACGGAACCCAAAAAAAATTACACAAAATGTGTACACATTTTTAAAATCTTTATAAAATATCTGATAATTTGATCTACATATGTCTAATAAATATTTTTGACCTCCAAATGACATTTTTTGACTTATTTTTATTGAGGGTCCATAACCGCTGGACCTGCCTTCTTAAAAATTTAATTATTTCTTCATCTTGTCAAAACAAGTAAATGTTTTTTGAATTATTAAAATCATACCCTCCGTTCTCTTAAAAACTGAGTTACCGTTTTTGGCACTTTTTACCCCGTATCTTCGAAACGGCTAGACCTGACTTATCAAAAACTAATCAGCACGTTTTCTTATCAATATGGATCGAATCTTTTTCGAATTATTCAAATCGGTTGATCGGTGTTCCCGAAATCGCCGACGAAATTTTGTTTCCACACACACACACACATACATCCATTTTTTCTAAAGTATGCCAAAGTATTCAGAAACCTTTGAAACGTAAAGATTTATAAAAATTTTCATTTTTGATTTTTTTGCGATTATTATAACTTACCCTACGGGAAGTTATTAATTCGTATTTCTGTAAGTAAATCCAATGTGAAACTTTAATCGCGTTTTTCTCAAAACTATGTTTTTTGAACTGGTGACAACTCTAACTCAAGAACCGCTTAGTAGATGAAATTGATACAGCTCGTAGAATACATAATAAATTCGGGTCTGATTGAAGGATTTTTATTTTTTCAAAAATTTCAATTGTTTAAGACCAATTAACTGTTGATTTTTTTCCAAAAATCTAGAATTTTTTTCTGATGCCGCCATTTTGTTAATTTTTGCAAAAAACGAAAAGCTTAGATTTAGTCGGGATAAATAGATAATTTATAAAAATATTTTTTATATTAGCTTGATATCTGTGAAAATGTGAATAACTTGTAACAGCACTCATTTTAAAGCTTATAATAGGCACTATAAAATCCAATTTCACTGAAATGCATAACACGTAAAACCTTGCCGCTAGAAGGCTTTTTGAATACAGCAATCTTGAACGAAATAAAAAATGATTTTGCTCTTTCAAATCTAGCTTAATATTATTCCTAGAACACTTTATAAAATACCGATTTATCAAGATTTTTATCGACATTGTTTTGTTCATTAAATGATTTTTGTTAAAATGTATATTTTAGGAGATATTTGCCAAAAAAACGAAGAAAAAACGCCAAAAATATATGAATTTTTAGCGGCCAGTAACTTGAATCGTATTAGTTTTTTTGAAAAATTTTAGAAGACATTTTTTTTCAGTTCTTCTATCGATATCTGGCATTATTTTGGAAAAATGAAATTACACAACTTAGGTGTTATCTTCTCGGGAGTGGTGGCGAAGCTCGAATTATTTTGACTTTTGAACTTGAGGGAAAGATGAACCTAATTTCAAAGTTCTATGCAAATCGGAGCACAGTAAAAAAAATCTGACCCAGAACGTTCCATGGACTGGAGTAATGTATGATAAAAAATATTGCATAAGCCTTATTGGCATTAAAATAATTGTAGTGTTTAATTTTTGCAATTTTAATGAACAAATTTCGATATTTTTTTGTTTGATATATGTTGTATGTGTTTACGTGGCTGATTCGAATTTCACAGTTTAATTAAAGACTTAAGTAATTGTAGAAATTGAGACTCAACATTTTATTTAATGCAGTTCTACATTCAACATCGCTCACATTAATGTACATACAATTTGGTATAGATTGTAATCTAAATAACATTAATGATTAGTTTTAACTAAATGGTAAATATTAGTATAGGTTGTAGACATGGGTAAGAACAATGTCTGTTGGGTCAGCTAGTAGTATATATATGTATATATATATATACACCTAAGTCTGTTTTTACACGGTCTTTTTGTACACGGTTTTGATATAACACGGTTTGAAAATTGAATATTTTTAATTTTTTACACGATTTTATTCCATTTAGCACGATTTGAAA